CCAACTTGAATATTGTTGGGAGACCTTTTCATTTTACAAAATAATTTGTGTTTTGTTTTAGTTGAAATAAGAAGACCTTTCGAGAGCCAGGACTTACAAAACGATTTGCTATTAACATTACATTTTTTAATTGGGGCGTGCCTTGATGCAATAGCACTGAAAGCATCACAGAAAATCTTGAGTGCCGGATTCGGTTCATCACAATTATAAATTGGCTGCCAACATGTATTGTTCAAATCGGAAACAAATTTGTCACGGTTATAATTTGATAAGTCACATTTGTAAAATATCTTGCCTTGATTGAAATGATGATGTAAATTTTCGTATACAGAATATGTGTTCTGGCAGTAGAGAATACCATTATGGGTAAAGACTGAAACAAGAAAAGCATCACTTATGTGGATATAATACCTTCAACAAACAATATAAAATATGTGTATCATCACCATATATGAAATGAATGAACACACAGACTCTCTTCAACACTGCAAGTATGAGGTTGTATTCAATGTAATGTATTTAAAAGCTTTTTAAGTTAAGATGAAATTCCTATTTTGTCCTATATTTTCATTATTGATAATATAACTGCCTTATGACCACAAAGTGCATAAATCTGTGTCTTTATGCAGTTTATGTTGTCTCTGGATGTAGACAGTATTGTCGTTGGATGTAGATTGTATTGTCTCTGAATGTAGACTGTGTTGTTTCTGGATGTAGACTGTATTGTCTGGATGTAGACTGTATTGTCTCCAGATGCAGTCTGTTTTCTCTGGATGTAGACTGTATTGTCTCTGGATGTAGACTGTGTTGTCTCTGGATGTAGATTGTGTTGTCTCTGGATGTAGACTGTGTTGGCTCTGGATGTAGACTGTGTTGTCTTTGGATGTAGACTGTGTTGTCTTTGGATGTAGACTGTGTTGGCTCTGGATGTAGACTGTATTGTCTGGATGTAGACTGTGTTATCTCTGGCTGTAGATTGTATTGTCTCCAGATGCAGTCTGTTTTCTCTGGATGTAGACTGTGTTGTCTGTGGATGTAGACTGTGTTGTCTCTGGCTGTAGACTGTATTGTCTCTTGATGTAGACTGAATTGTCTCTGGATGTAGACTGTTGTTTCTGGATGCTATTTGTGTTGCTGGATGTAGACTGTGTTGGCTCTGGATGTAGACTGTATTGTCTCTGGATGTAGATTGTGTTGTCTCTGGATGTAGATTGTGTTGTCTCTGGATGTAGACTGTGTTGGCTCTGGATGTAGACTGTGTTGGCTCTGGATGTAGACTGTGTTGTCTCTGGATGTAGACTGTGTTGTCTCTGGATGTAGATTGTGTAGACTGTGTTGTCTCTGGATGTAGACTGTGTTGTCTCTGGATGTAGACTGTGTTGGCTCTGGATGTAGACTGTGTTGGCTCTGGATGTAGACTGTGTTGGCTCTGGATGTAGACTGTGTTGTCTCTGGATGTAGACTGTTGTCTCTGGATGTAGATTGTGTAGATTGTGTTGTCTCTGGATGTAGATTGTATTGTCTCTGGATGTAGATTGTGTTGTCTCTGGATGTAGATTGTGTTGTCTCTGGATGTAGATTTTGTATAACTTGATGTAGATTATGTTGTCTCTGGATGTAGATTGTATTGTCTACAGATGCGGTCTGTGTTGTCTCTGGATGTAGACTGTATTGTCCCTGAATGCAGTCTGTCTTGTCAAACTGTACACTACATTGACTAGTAGTTAACGGGATTGTAGCCCGAATTGCACACTACTTTGACTAGTAGATAACAGGACTGTAGCTCGAACTGTACACTATTTTGACTAGTAGATAACGGGACTATAGCCCAAACTGTACACTACTTTGACTAGTAGATAACAGGACTGTAGCCCAAACTGTACACTACTTTGACTAGTAGACAACGGGACTGTAGCCCAAACTGTACACTACTTTGACTAGTAGATAACGGGACTGTAGCCCGACCTGTACACTATTTTGACTAGTAGATAACGGGACTGTAGCCCGAACTGTACACTATTTTGACTAGTAGATAACGGGACTATAGCCCAAACTGTACACTACTTTGACTAGTAGATAACAGGACTGTAGCCCAAACTGTACACTACTTTGACTAGTAGACAACGGGACTGTAGCCCGAACTGTTCACTACTTTGACTAGTAGATAACGGGACTGTAGCCCGAACTGTACACTATTTTGACTAGTAGATAACAGGACTGTAGCCCGAATTGCACACTACTAGTAGATAACAGGACTGTAGCTCAAACTGTACACTATTTTGACTAGTAGATAACAGGACTGTAGCTCGAACTGTACACTATTTTGACTAGTAGATAACAGGACTGTAGCTCGAACTGTACACTATTTTGACTAGTAGATAACGGGACTGTAGCCCAAACTGTACACTACTTTGACTAGTAGACAACGGGACTGTAGCCCGAACTGTACACTAATGTTGACTAGTAGATAACAAGACTGTAGCCTGAACTGCACACTATTTTGACTAGTAGATAACTGGACTGTAGCCCAAACTATACACTACTTTGACTAGTAGATAACGCGACTGTAGCCCGAACTGTACACTACTTTGACTAGTAGATAACGTGACTGTAGCCCGAACTGTACACAAATGTTGACTAGTAGATAGCGGGAAAAGTCAGTGGAAAAGAGGGCTGTCGTACTATGAGAATGGAGAGAGGCTGGGATGACTTTGCACCACTTATGACCTAGTAATTGGGGGAACCCGCTTTCAACACAAAACCATCCACAAACTGACCTAGTATTCTCCAAATGGAAGGGATAACCATCTGGTGATTAACAGAACCTGGAAACGTTCACTACTTGATGTCAAGGTTAAACAGGGAGTTGATGTTGGCAGTGACCGTAAACCTGGTCATAGCTGTGCTCAAAGCAATGCTGTGAAAAACGGGGAACAAAATGACAGGCAGACAACAGTTTGATGTTGGCAAATTACATGACCCAACGGTCCAAGGCTAACAACTGAGGAACAGGTTTCAGGCACTAGCAGTTATGAAGGATCAC